GAGAAAGGAGGTCTAGCGTATCAGCATCTTGGAGGAGAACCCGAGGTGGAGGGCTTTTAGACTAGGAACTCCTATCGCAGAGCTTCCTCTTGACCTAGAAGAATGGAGGTGGAGGCAAGGAAATTCGGCGGCCTGTAGAGGGGGAGGGCATCAGTCGGAGGTCTAACTAGCCAACTTGAAGGCAAAATCGACATACAAGAGTTGAGAACCAGGAGACACCTTCGAGACGTAGTGGAAGACAGGTGGCAGCACCAGTTAAACATAAACGTGGGTCTGCTAAAATTTATCAGATGGTTCCAAGAGTATAAGTTGAGACCAACAAAAATATCATCATTGCAATGGCAAATTGCACATCGCTGCCTGCCTACGAACGATTGGCTGATTGATCATACGCATTTGGAGCAGCAAGGCAGGGTTCAACCATGGTGTCGCAGATGTATGTCCATCTTCCCCCCTCAAAAGAGAACGGAAACGGTGAAACATATCTTTATGTAGTGCCCATCGTCGACACTATTGTGACGGTGGTGGGATAGGATTTGGTAGCAGATGTTCCCTGATTTCCCGTGGCCATGGGACTGGAGAGCAATCTTGCCAGGACACTACCCAAACTTTTCGAAAGGCAGGTATACTTGGAACCTCTTCTGCCTGGGTAGAAAATCCGTATTGTGGGTAATTTGGTGGGGGAGGTGTGTGCTGGAAATGGAGGGAGCCAGGGTGGAGGGGGGGGAGGTCACAAAACACTTCAAACAACTCGTGCAGGCTGAGATCACCGTCCGTTGGCAGGATGAGAAACAGAAACTGGATAATGTGCACCTCAGGAGAGACGCGGACCGGATTATTTCCCAATTCGGAGAGGAATGGTCAGGAGGGAAAAGGGGGGGGGCTGGATAGCTAATGTGACATTGTCGGAAGACGAGCGGATGGAACAAGGTATGGCAGAGGAAGAGGTCCCCCCATAAATATGAAGCGGGACTACAGGCTACTGTGTCGAGAGTAGGCGGTCGTTGATCTGGGGATCCCCCTCATACCAACACAAGATTTGGAGACCCCTTCCCGTCACACCCGCTCTCAATAGTTGAAATCTTGCAAGAAGTTTAGTCGGGCGGTTGGCTGAAGCAGGGGGTGGGGATACCTAGTCAATTGCTTCTTTTCTCCTCTCCCCCCCCCCCCCCCCCCCCCCCCCCCCCCCCCCCCCCCCCCCCCCCCCCCAAATTTTTTTTCTTCACCTTTTTTTATTTCACCTTTTTTTCTTTTTCTTTTTTCTTTTTCTTTTTTGTTTTTTTCTTTTCCTTTTTCTCCTTCCCCCATCTTTTTTTTTTTCTTTCTTTCTTTCTTTCCTTTTTTTTTCTTCTCTTCGATTTCTTTTTCTTTCCTACAGTGAAAATTGGACCGGCCGTCAACTTGATCAAAGGGGCAGGAGAGTTGGGTAGGCGAAGGACAGACAGTGAAGGTTGGACCTGCCGTCAGGTTGATCAAAGGGGCAGGAAAGCTCGCCAGACAAGGGACAGGGTTAGTTGGGGGAGACGGGAAGCACTCTCAAAGGTCCAACGAAGCCCCCGAGTTCCTTTAGCATCATCAGGAACTAGTACTAGGGAGGGGGGTGGGGCGGCCAATGCCATAAGGACCGGTGCCCCCCGGACCCGAGGCAGTGGCCCCCCTCCCGACCACCTCCAGCCCTGCTCAGTCAATCCCCTGCAGCCTAGGGTAATCAACGCTGACAGGGATACACATTATCATGGCTCACTTCGGAAAAAGATGTATTCAAGATGTATTCAAGGGACGCTGGCCCAGTTTCCAGCAGGTGATGCTCCCCACAAATAGATGGAGTGACCCACTGACAAAGCCTCAATCCCTGTGGTTCTCTTACCACCACTGGGATAGAGGCCTTGCACAAGGGCTTCCCCCTTCCCCTCCCCTCACACACACACATAAAAAAGATATTGGCCATTAGACACGGCTAATGTGGGGTTGGAGTGGGGTAGGGGGAGGTGCCAGTGACTGGCCAAAGATGTGCCGGTTTCCCCCGTCGGCAGCTTGATCACCCCGCATCATCGTGATGAGGGGATGATACAGATACACGCCTCGGTCTTGCACCACTGCTGTGATACCAAAATACCCCCTGGGCTGGGGAGAGTTCCAGGTTTGGTTGGTGTTCCCCTTTACTATACATAGAGTAGCTAGAGGATGAGATAGATGAGGAAAATATATACAAAGAGGGATAATTTGCAAAATACCCCCATAAGTTGAGATATATGCCAAAATGCCCCTGAAAGATGTGGGTATAGCGGAATGCCCTTTTGGGCCGAAATTTTTGTGTTGTGCCCCTGTCAGGCGGGTGTACAACTTTGCAATCTGGACCTCCCCGTTTGGGCCTTGGCCTTTTGCAATAGTATCTAGGAAAAGTTGGCAAGTACTGGGGCATTTTACAAAGTTGGACGGTACTCGGTAGGGGTATATTGCAAAGATGGGGGTCCAACCGATACTAGGAGCATTTCACAAACTATTTTTTTTTGTCATAGGGGTATTCCGCTCTACCCACATCTCTTAGGGGCATTCTGGCATATATCTTAACTTATGGGGGTATTTTGCAAATTATTCCATACAAAGAAGACTGAGAGAAAAAAATAAAAAATAAAAAATGATTGTTATGCATCTTTCCATGTTCCATCCTCATTTTGTACATTCGGTGAGTTGTGCAGCGAGGCCCGAAGAGAGAAAAATAGTACATCTTCCACAAAGGAAGTGAAAAGATTCATAATTTCTATGAATAAAGGATGTATTGTGCCACCTTGTGCGAGAGCGCTTAGTTCAACGTACCCTGGAGCACGGTTCCACTAGTGAAGGAGTAAGGTAAACTATGTCCCACAAACACCTTTGGGACATCTGCGGGACATCGTTCGACCACTGATGTAGGAGAATCGGATGACAACGAAATTGCGAGGGATTTATATTCTGAAGTGGTGTTTTTTTTTTTTTTTTTTTTTTTTTTTTTTTTTTTTTTTTTTTTTTTTTTTTTTTTTTTTTTTTTTT